ACTGTTTAAATATCTCCGGATCGCAGGCAGCGCCAACGGTGTAGTTAACACCGGGTCCCTCGCAAACGCACTGCTCGTTGGTGACCTCGCCGGTATCGGTTAGGCGGCGAACCATGCGAAAAGAGAACGTGCCAATGGAGCCGAGATAGAGGCCAACGCCAATGGCAAATCCAATTGTGCCAATGAATAGCACCCAGGAAAAGATCGGGAAGAACACGGTGCTGATAACGGTGCTCACAGCCTTGCTGCCCTCCTTGACCAGCGCAATGGAGATACGTATTCTCTTGCGCAGCACAATGACCAACAGGAATATGACCACAAAGGCGATGCAGGCAGCTATGGACAAGTAGAGCCACATCTTGGGATTCTGCAGCAGATTTTGCCACTGCTTGTGCAGATTTAGATCGTGCAACGGCACCGTGGCTGTATTGCTCCAGAATCTGTACTGCTTAAAGCTGTAGTAGATGGCAAACAGAAGGCCGACCAGCACGCCGATAATGGAGAACCAGAGCATGGGCGCGGCAATCCAGCGCATCAGGGCAATGTAGATAAGTGAGGCGAGCAGCGTACAGAATAAAGCCATTAGCACCACAGACGTTGAGTTGACCAAATCCTCGACAATTTCCTCGCCCAGACGCTGGGCATCGTGGGTGCCATTATAAAAATGGGCCACCAGATTCCCCACCATCTTGGCCAGTCGCGTATCCGTTTGCATCATCTTTTCCCTAATGACTGCCCCGTTCAGCTGCTGACGGCGGCATTGTCCGACCCGTTCGTCTACCGGCTCCTGCTTGCTGCTTCCAGTTTGTGGTGCCACCCGAGCCAGCGCTTCACTCTGCATGGTCAGTGCCATCGCCTGCATTTCCAGCTCCTCCACTTGACTCGAATTGCCGGGCAACCGTAATGTGGAGTCCCGCCGAGCACGCAACAGCACGCTGGGCAGCAATTCACAGATTTGATCCGAGAACTCGAACATGCAGCGATTGAGGAAGGGCTGACTCTTGATGTAATAGCGAGCACAACGATTTTCCTGGATAGCACGCTCAATGTCCGCTTTAGATCCAATGGCTGCCTTGTCCGCATCCGTTTTGCAAATGAGTCGTGCTCTCAGCTCCTGAAGACTCATAGTGTTCTTCATGCTATCCCAAACGAACGTCTGTGAGGGACAAGTTTCGACGCAAACCTGCAATACATAGAGAAGGGATGAGAATCAGAACCAATTCAGAAACAGAATTAATTTACCTGTGGCGTATTACAGCCCGTAATGGGCACCAACGGATCAATGCATTGGTCCAGATTAAAGAAGAACAAGTACTTTTTATTCAGCACGCTGGAGTCGATGCCGCACTTCTGATTGTACATATCCGTCGGCACCATCAGCTTATTGAGATCCCCATTCTGTATGGCATAGTGGGCAATGAACGCCCAGCCGCCCAGAAAGAGAACAAATAGTATTAGGCAGGGGACATCCGTGCAGCTGCGATCACGTTGTCGAGGTCCCTGGAAATTGCGATCATAGCGCAGCGGCTCGCCATATTTGTTCACCAGCTCCACGTTCTCAGTCATCGCAGCCTCTCACTCGCTCTGCGGTTAAACATGTATTGAAATGAGAAGCTGTCATTAGACGAAACAGAAAACAACTCTAAGTATCATCAATAATGCTTACGTCTATATATGTATGTTTCTCATTCTCAGTTTTGTTTTTGCTTTCTACGTAACGATATAATACACTTATGTATATATAGTACATACATACATAAACATAGTTCACTGTAAGTTATTTCAGAACATTCGTCATTGCTTCAAACTGAAGCCACAACAGACAGCATACACTAAAGTCTCTTTATGCATACTATAAATCATCGGACATTACGCGTACAGTAAATGCTCTATAATATATATATTTAAATTTTATATTATATTATAGCTGGAAAGCTTCATATAGCAAATAATTATTGAGAAGTATGAAATATTATTTTTATAAAAATAATTAAAAATAATTCTAACCACACTTAGTTTTTAAATAAATCTCAAACTTTTTAAATCATTTGATAAGAATAATCAAAAATAAAGGTACGTACGCAGCTTCATGTGATCTATAAAGTTTTTAGTATCTGTGTAGTTCCTGTCTGCAGAAGCAGAAAATTAGTATATTTAAGCTATGAAAATGATAGATAAAAAAAGCTGCATATTCATAAGCTTAGTATAAAGTAGCATAACGTAATAAATCAAAGAGATAACAGCCTATTTTTAACTACTACTACTACTAAAAAACATACGTATAAAATGTTAATAAACACATATTCAGCTAGACTTATTCAGGTATATATGAATTATATGTTCAGCCCAATCTTAATCGCTTTTTATGACACAGAGGCTACTTCAAGAGTTTAGTTTTAAGTTATTTATCCATATATTTTGTACTTTTCTTGTATCAGATTATTAAAGAGGTCAATATTTGCAATATTTGATGTAATTTCGCTAGTTTTACAAACGACTCTCAAAAATGTTTCTACGAAAGGGTATACAAGTGTTACCAAAAACAAAGAATGTTTTCTCTTTCACAATTTGCTCAAACACACAAGTATATATATGTATATGCATGTGTGTGTGGGTTTGTAGATTTCTATTTATTTATTTACATATGCATCTGTCTATATGCATCTATATGCTTATGTGAATGGACACATATGTATATATTGACATTTGCTGCCGCATTGCTCCATTGATAACAGACGGGAGCTCCATTGGCTGCCGGCTACAACAAAGCGTTGCGCAAATTGGCAATAATGACGCATTAAAAGCGTATTAAATATATTTAATTATGTGCACACACTCATACACTTACACTGGCACACACACACACTCACACACATTAATTCGCAACTTGTTGATTGTGGCACGTTTTTGTTTTGTTGTTATTAGCTGTCTGCCTTGCCACTGTTGACCAAAAATAAAGCGACAAACCTGTTGGGGCCTAAATGGGCGCCTGAAACAATTCGCTTTCCATTGAAATTGAAATTGAAATTAAAAAAGTGTAAAACAATTTTGGTTGACAAGGCGACGGCGACGACGACGGTGACGACAATGGCGACACATTCAAGGTCATTTACCGCAACGCTCTATCAAATATGTTTGCATATGTACATGTACAAAGGTAGTACAGTGAAAGCATTCATCACGAACAGCTGTCTTTTGTAAGCAATCATTTTATACGCAAACAATTGTGCAATGCGACGTAGGCTCTCTAGGAAAACAAATGCATTTTTCCAGAATTTGACTAACAATGCAAATGAGGAAGAACTTAACTACAGTATATACATATATATAAGGTTATAGTTACTTAGTAGTCGGAAGACTACATGAAGTTAAGAAGACAAGACTTCGAACTATGGAGGCATCACTGTATTTTAAGATGATATATCACAGTGGTTTCTTTAAACTCTTAGAACAGTACACAAAAGAATGGTACATTCAAATGGTTTTTTACTGTATTTGCATAGAGACGTCATAGTCACCTGGTGTGGCTGGAGGCTCACCAGGTCGCGGACTTGTGAATTTTTATCTTGTTTATCTAAGATATTTACATTCTCGACAAATAGGAAATAGATAAGAGTGCAACTACTGCTGCTGTCGCTTCTCTTATCTTCGTTGCTTTTCTTGTTTTCCCAAATGGCAAACGACACATAGTCATACAATATTAATTACTGAGAAATGGGTTACATACACATGTTTAAATTACTCACCGTTTGTCAAGTTTCTCCTCCTATGCCACAGCAGACACAATTAACAATTGAAACAATAAACAAGGCGATTCTTTATTGTCTTTGCATAGTAGCTGTGTCCAGTGTCCAGGTGTGTATGGATTGGTGTATGGATGACTGGGCGGGGAGCTAGATTTCTTTGTTTGTGCAGCCGAATGCAGGAATCGCGTTCGGGTTGCGTCTCAGGCGAAAGTCAGCAAACGACTAAAGTGGTTGCCTTTGTTGCCGTTGACGTCGCGGACGTTGCTCTTTGAACGGCGGCAGTGGCGCGGTCACTGGATGTCAAAAGTAGCACTATTCAGGAGGGGGTGTAGCTGGTCGATTGGAGCTGCAAGCATAAAGGCAACATACATACATAAATATAAATCATAAGGCACACACACACACACGCACATACACCAGCGCGCCAACATCACAAGCGCACTAAAAAAAAAAACAACACTAGGTTCGCGAATTGGAGGCGATATGGCACATATTCCCTATTTTATTACACATCATTTTCTGATAAGGTGCACGGCTCAACAATTTTCGATAATGGTTGTTTTGCATTTTTGGCCCAAATTGCTATGCATGCAACTTGAGTTCTAGTGCTGACACACACACATATATATATTCACTCAATCACTCATACATATGCACACAGATATGCTCCATAAAAACACTTCAATTAAATTTATAATTAATACACTCACTTAACGTTTAGTTGAGCATTCAGTTTGAACGCACGCAATAACACTGAGTGGAGAGACCTAACCAGGCAGCTCCCCACTTCAGTTCAGCTGTTGAAGGCAGTGTTGGCCAACGCAAAAATGCGCAGTCAAAACAAATACACACTGACACACATTAGCAGTCTGCTGCGATAGTATCGTCGAATATGAGTAACGGCAACATGTGAATTGTCAACAAAATAAGTTTTTAGAATGGATGTACACAATTTGAAAATACTTATTTTGAAATGGCCATCTATTAACTGTCATGAGGGAAAAACGATGTAATTACGCCAATCGTTTGCTCCTCGGGAGGTTGAAGAAGCAGTTAGAAAATTATCTCAATATAAATATTTTTCATTTCATATAAAATATTGTCTATGCGAAACTTATTCTTACATTTTAAATGCAAGAAAACCTACATTCATAATTGGGCGTGCATTGGATTTTAAAACAAGCTGAAATTATATATATATATATTTTTTGTTTTTGACATTAAGTGAGTTTTCATATTCTAATAAAACAATTTTCAATAAATGTAGCTGCGCAACAGTTTCGGGCGCCAAGTGTAAGTCCAACAAGAGCGAGATAGCCATATTGCAATTCTGCGGCCAGTGCTGGTAAGCGCTCAATTAATTAATTGCGGGGTCGGCGGCATGAGTGCAGTGAAAATGTTTAGCGTTGAAGACGGCACAAGATTTGATTGAAACGAAAACAAATTAAGAATTGTTCGTAATTTCGCAAAAAGCCAACGCTTGAATTACATTTAACACTCTCAAACTGGCCATTAGCTATAAGGGTCGATGATTATATGTGTGTTTGGCGAAAGCCTTTGTGTTGTTTCCGCCGGCTGGACGCCAAAACTACAAATTTATTGTCAATTGCACAAAAGTGACAAATTATTTTCTCGGCTGCCGCGAGTGCAACGTAGAGCGGACAATTTCGATACGCTCAATAAAGAGTGTGTACAGTAAATATAAACGCCGAATCATCGGATTTGTTTTTGTTTATACCAGTTTCTGCACACATTTCTAAATTGCAAAACATAAAAGTGAAAACAGGCCAAGAGCTAGCAGTATTTGTCGCGCTGGTGGTGTACGTGCACGGGCTGAAGTAGAAACAGAAGCAGAAGCAGACATCGCTGACAACCAACAGGAGGTGGGGCCCGACATCGCCTTCGTTTTTGCTGTTACCGTTCTTGTTGTTTTTGCTGCTGCTGACATTGTTTTTGTTTGGCACACAAAACACGCGGCGTGCAGCTTAGCAAAAGGGCGGGAAGGCAACTATAACGGTTCTCGTCCGAATTTTTGTTACGCGTGTGTCGATAGTTTTTTGTTTTTTTTTTTTTTGTTCAATTTTATTGTTTGTTTGCATTGCGTTTTGAATTCAGCCTCACAATTGGGGGGCTGCGGCGGTGGCAATGTCGAAGCTGGGCGAGCACAAACGTGTGTCCCTCACCACAATCAGCACGCAGAGGAGCATAACTAATAGCAATGAAGCTGGCTTCAGTTCAATGCCGCCGACGTTCTCGCGTTTCGGTGACTTCTTGGATCCGGACGCAATGCAGGCAAGCAAGAGCAGTAAATCGGCAACCAAAAGCGTTCGACTGGAACTGGAAATGTTCGAGACGGACTCAAACAGGTATCCCGAGTTCAACTATTCAAAGCTGCTCTACTTGGAGAAGGTAAGTATATTCTAGCCACCCATTTGGTGCTTGTGATTTCTTATTTATTGCAATCCGTTTCAGAAAAAAGCCAAAATGCTGAAAGAGAAAGCCAATAATGGCAGAACAGATCCTTTTGCCGATAACGATGATGATGTGGCACGCATTGCCAAGGAGCTGGAGGCCAAATATGGAAATGCCTATGCCAGGGGCCGCAGCAGGCGTAAGAAGGAAGAATTTTATGACATTGGAATGGGTTACGACGAGTCGGATTCCTTTATAGATAATACCGAGGCGGTAAGCTTATAATTTCCACAAAGATAAAGGAGATTTTAATACAATATCTTTGCAGTACGATGAAATTTTGCCTGAAGAAGTGGAAACACTTGAGGGTGGTTTTTATATTAACTGCGGCGCCTTGGAATTTAAGAATCTAAACAAAAAATCCAGTACACGTCGCACCGATGCCATTATCAAAATGCCGGAGCGATCGCGCAAACGAGTTGTGTCCAGCAGCTCGGATGAATCTACTGAATCATCATCAGATTCCTCAAGTGATATTGAACAGAAACAAGTTACGAATAATAAGATTAACAATAATAATAATAATGCTGATAATGGTGAGGACGAAGATGATGACGACGATGATGATGATGATGATGAAGATGATGAGGATGACGATGATGACGACGATGATTCGGATTCAGACGACAGCGAGAGCATTGAGGGCTCTGACAGCGAAAGCGAAAGTCTCGATGAAGACACCAACGGCACGTCTAACAGCGCCAAAAAGAAGTTCAAGCAATGCGATTTAAAACGTCCGAAATCCAGTTCCGCTTCCAAGCAGAAGATCCACAGTGCCAATGCAAAGAAGCCAAGCAGCAAGCTGAAATCTGTGCCGTCCTCTTCCTCAAATTCACCGCGTCCGATTACCATAGACAATTCCGACACGGATGAGCGGCAGGCGCAGGCGCAGGCACAGGCCCTCAAGAAAGTGGTCAAGACAACAACTGTCAAGGATATGCTAAAGGCGAAACGCGATAGCTTCCTAAAATCTCAAGGCCAGCTCGATGGTCCCTCGAAGAACGCTGTAAACGGCGAAGTGAAGTGCATCACGACGACTATTATTGATTCCAGTAGCGACAACGATGACACCGATTCAGCAAGTGAGCAAGGGAAATCGGATAAGTTGCCCAAGAGCAAGGATGTTAATGAAAGTAAGTGATCAGCGTGGAAAATATTTAATCTCTTGCTCACATTTAATGTTTGAATTTCATTTAGATCTACGATCGGCAGATACGATTCTACCCGCAACACTCGATAGAGAGATCCTTGTCAACATCAACAGCTTCAAGGAACTGGTTAGAAGCAGAGAATTGTGTGGCAAAAGATTTTACTTTGATGGCAAGCTTACGACGCTTTTACTCAAGTAAGCTTTACCGGCAAGTTAATCAATTTAATTTATTTAATTAATAAATTATTTTGTAGAATTTACGAGGCGCTGCTGTGCACAGAGCGCAATGAGCGAAATATGGTGTTTGCACATCTGGAATACCAGCTTCAATTGCCAAAATATTTTATACTGCGCAAGGCCAAGGCGCTGCGCGCCAAGGAGGAGAAGAATAAGACGACAAACGCCTTGGAGCGACTACGCAAGGCGGTCGCCGAGGTGATGCCCAAAGCAATCGCCAATTATGAGATCGAACTTCATAAATTTGCGGAATTGGCGTAAGATAAAAGTTGAACTTTTAACCAATGAATTAGTTTTTAACCATATTTGTAACTTTTAGTGCGGCAGATGTTAACGCAGAGCATCCGCCAAAGATGCCACGGAAAAAGTTTCAGTGGACAAATGAGTTGCGCGAAAGGCTCTATGAGGTATACCAAGCGCGCTGGACATCTTACGCAGTGCTGGGCAAACGAAAGGATTCACTGGAGCAGTTCATCAACGGCTACCTGAAAGACAAAATAGTGGATGTTTGGGCAACTGGCTGGATGCGTTACGAGGATTTGCAGCGCGAGATTGAGCGGCATAAGAATGCCAGCAAAAAGCTTAAAGAGAAAGCGAAGAAACAATCACTAGGCACAGCCACAACCACCGCAGTCACCACATCCACAATACAAACAACCACAACCAACAATTACCTGAAGCAAGTCGATGATCTGACGGTGGCCGAACAGAGTCGGTCGCGTGCCAATTCCGATACGGATTCAGCTACAAGTGCCTCATCCAATAGTGTCAAGCGTAAACTTGAATTGCCACCCAGCAGCAATGTTGCGACGACGCAGCCAAAGCCAAGCGCAAAGCCGCCCAAAATCAAATTCCAAAAGCAATTGGCGGCAACCCTTGCACAAATGTCGCAAGTAAGCAGCGCCTTGCCGATGCCTCCAACTAACATTGAGACGATGTCGCTGCCAGCTGTCAACAATTACCTGAAGCAATTCGAGGACCTCACAGTCATCGCCCCACAGAGTCGCTCGTGTGGCAATTCTGATACAGATTCCGTTAAAAGTGCCTCCTCGAGCAGTCTGAAGCGCAAGCTGGAAACTCCTGCCTTGGGCGGCACAACACAATCGAAGCAAGGCAGCAAGCCGCCCAAGAAGAAGAAACAGCAAATCTCGCCACTGCCACAACAGCCACAGCCACAGGCCCAATCACAGATGACACAGTTGGACACGCTAATGTCGCAGCCGAGCACATCGGCACAGGCAGCGGCATTGAATGCAGCTGTTGTGGCCGCAGCAGCTAGCATGCTGGAGCTGGCCTCGCCCACTAAGACGGATCACAGCATCTACAACCTAATATCAGCCGCATCGATGAACCCAACGGCGGTTAGTGTCGGCGCTCCTATAAACAGTCTGCCACAGACTGCAGCACATTCCACAGCATCAATCATGACATCACGCCCCGTGCCCCACATCATCAACTTGGACGACTATAAGAGTCCCAGCGATATCTTGCAGACATCACAGCAACTGGCGGCCAATAAATGGCAGTCCGTTCCCGTGTCGAAGGAGCAGCCGCCAGTGCCTCCAGCTGTGGTGCGATGCGAGAGCAGCAGCGAGTCGGACGGTGTGGAGATTGTGGGCGTCTATCCGGCGGTGGTGAAGCAGATTCTCCCCAATAAAACGAAGCCCAAGTCGAAGGCCAGCCAGAAGAGCAAACCGACGTCAGTGATTAGCACGACGGGCACGGTGCCCAATGGAGTTAATGGTACGCTTGGTTTCAATTTGGAAAACATGTATGTGTACAACAATAATAATACTGCCCCCAAGATGGGAACTGGGGTAATACGCGCTACTGCGGCAACCAATACGGTGGAAACGCTTGGCTACGATCTCAGCCGCAGTCCGCAGATTATGAAGAAATTATCGGAATTATCGGCGCTCGATAAGCAACTAAAATGGTCACCGTGCTCGCTACTCTCCGGTGCTGGCACCAGCGGTGGTGCGGGCGCCGGTGCTGGTGCGAGTGCCGGGAAACCAACAACGCATCAATGACATACGGGGAATGCCACACAGCCCCAATCGGTGTCGGTGTCGGCATTCTATAATCACGAGCAGGCTGTGGCCGCCGCCTTGGTGTTATCCTCGATGAGTGCCTCTGCCGCCCGTTATGATGCGTACGATGTGCAGCTGGGACTGCTGAATGGCTCGCTAGCTTCCTCTAATCAGATGTCCAGTGCCGCAACTCAACCAATTGCAACAACAATAACAGCAACAACAACAGCAACAACACCACAAACACTGCCACAAGTATTTCTGAAGCCTTCCCCCCCGCCTTCAGCCGCTGTCGATGGTATTAGCGACATGACAGCAAACACGGCGCAGGCGGCGCAACTGCCCACAAAATTCATCTAGATATATGCATAGCACACACATGCTCCCTAAACTATTCTGAGTTCAACATTTACAGATCTATACATATATGTATACCTCCTCGAGGGGAGAGAATTAAGACGCTTAGTTTGTAGGTTTCATAAGAATTAGTCATTTTAAATTGATATTGTGGGTGTGCATCACTGCCAATAATCATCAATCACGAGAAGATGCAGGAAATGCTCAAGAATCGAGTGAGGCATGTACGAAAAAAGGGTATGCCGTCTTCGGTGTGTTCGTGTAGTGTGTGTCCGCGCTGGCGATGTGATGATTTCGTATTTGTTTTGTATTTTTCGTTTATCATTCTTTGAGGAATATCAAGTCCACCAACTTAAAGTATGTACTTTGAAAGAGGTTAAGAATCAATCGAGTTGTATCTAGTTATTTATAGTGAATCAATTTTTATTAAATAAAAGAAAAATAAGTTATGTAATAAAAAAGTAAAACAAAGAGCGCATATTCTATTCAAAATTAGTGCACACCCACAAGGCTCGTACTCTATACATATCAAAATGAAGCGATCAATGACACCCAAGCAAACTGACCATAACTTATATACATTACGGTTAACATATCCATCCCAATGGGTATTTACATAGCTCCCCCATGGTTGATTATCGTCTTAAACAAGCCATCAAATAACAGCAACCACCCGCCCATCCACTTGCTCGACCCCTTTAACCTAATTTGTAAAATATAACAGACACACTCGAGGACAGGTAATTGGTTCACTTGATCCAGCGTAGCATCGAGGTGAGGCGATTAGCTGCCATGGCTATGGTGGATTGCTGTGCCACCGCAGGTATCAGATTGGACTCTGTCAGTTCTGGCTGAGCCACGCTGACGCTGGGCACCGCCTCCCAATCCAGGCGTAACGAGCTCTCGTCTAAAAGATCATCGATTAATGTTTTCTATCAAATTCATATTTAAGCAAATTCAAACCTTCAGATTCAGATTCCGTTGCCGTCTCAATGCCAATGAGGAGCGAGTCCACAGATTTCATTAGCGGCGCATTGGCCACGTCCAGATGACCGTAGCGTCCCAAATCGCTGCGCTCCAGATCCAAAATGGCCAAAATATTTTCGAGCGTGTGCTGTTCATTGAGCGCGCGCAGCTTTACCTGCTGAGAGTAGGCCAGATACATGATATTGTTGTTGACGCGACACACCTTTCGGAGAAACTGCTCCTCGTTGCGCATCTTGCGACAGAAGTCGCTGTAGGCGACCTTGTGTGGCAGCCGCACGTTCAGATAGAAGCTGAGCAGCTGCGTTAGCTGCACCGTGTAGGTGAGTGCGCCCATGATTCGGTAGGCCTCAACGCGACTGGGCGTTATCTCATTGGCCGTGGTCTTGGGCACATCCTCCTTGTTGTCGGCCAGGTAGTCCAGGTAGGCAGAGTAGTCGCCGTTGGCGGGCAGCGAGGGTCCCACTATACGGTACTGCACCTCGCTGATGCCACTGCCATGGAACACCCATTTACCACGAATGTATGATGTGTTCTTGGCATCGGCCAGCGCTGCGATTGTTTCGGCATCTTCGCTGCGCTCGGCGCACACCTTGCGCTGCTGCTCGTCCTTCAACACCACCTCCGAGATGGGGAATATATAGGTGACAAGCTGTTGAATGTCACGGCGAGCCGTTTGTTTGATGCTATCCAATAGATTCATGTGTTGCTGGCGTAGTTTATCGATGCGCATCGAACGATCGATCACATAATCCTCCAGCATCTTCACCTTGGTGGGATAGTTCGGCAGATTCTTGCGCTTCTCAGCATTTGCCTGACGCAGCTCATCTCTCTGCTCGCTTAATGTCTGCAAGCGATGCGTCGTGCTGCCGATCAGCTGTTGCAGCAACTGCAGCTGTTCCCGCTTCGCACGTATCGCAATCATTCGATTTTCATTGCACTTGTGCTGTTGTATAAGGTGCTCGTACCTATTGCTGTACGTCTTTAGGCCCGCCTGCAGGTTAATGTACTTCTGCTGTTTCTCCGTTAAGCTGCAACCGTTAAAAATAAAAGAATTTAGTTTAATACAATGCTTATGTGTATGTGTGTGTGTGTGTGTGCAATGTGTTTTTTTGTGCAAATGAGTAACAACCTTTCGGATTCCAAGGCAGAGCTGTGAGTAATGTTTCCATTTTTAACACAAGTTCTGCAATGCAGTCGTCGCTGTTGCCTGCAGCAGAGCGGACATCGCAGACCTGTGGAGGCGACACCAGCTGTTGGCTTTACGCGCACATCGCCTTTCGGATGCTTCTTTGTGTAGGCAACGCCATCGCAGACATCGACTTCGTTCTCGTCTTCGTCATCATTTGTTGATGCGCTTGATAATTGAAAGTTCTCAGGGGCTTTGGAGCTTTCATCGGAGCTGGAGCTATTTGCCATTACAGACAAATCATTGCACTTAATATGCGTAGTCGATTTTTCATTGATAATTGTTTTTGTTATTGATACTTTTTCCTCCTGTCAAAACAGAAGTGCTGTGTAACATTGTATGGCTGCAGTCAGTGTTGGTAAACAGCTCGCAGCGGCCAGGGCTGGGTACTCGTACTTTAAAGCGCCAATTAAATTAATTTTATTTTTATCAATAAATTCAACATCCTTTCAATCGTAGTTTTGTTTTTTATTTTTTGCAGAGATTTCAATTGCCAAATAGTATAATTAGACTAATATGCTAGACAGGGAAACAAAACTATCGATGCGCTCCCATTAATAAACATTTATAATTTCACTGTTCGATTTGCCGAGCATTAATAAATTTGGACAACTTAAGCCCATCGTTTTCTTCGTACAAATAATTTAGTAAGCCTGATTCGGATGTGTGCTTGTTATATGTTTGTTTATTTCTTGCCCAGCACCTTGAGGGCAGCTGCAGTCACATCGGGTTCGCGAGGCAGTGCATGAAGCTCCAGAGTTTTGGCGTATGGCATGGGAACATCAACGCCGCAGCATCGCCAAACAGGGGCGTCTAGTTCAAAGAAAGCCGGGTCCTCCATAAAACGAGCACAGATCTCAGCACCCACACCTGCCAAGCAACGGACAGAGACAATTATATATATGATTAGGATAGCTGGATATCGATGGATACTCACCGTGTTGTGGCCAGCCGTTTTCCACGGTTATCAAATGATGCGTTTTACGGACTGAAGTGAAAATGGTTTGCATGTCTAGAGGGCGTATGGAACGCAGGTTGATTACTTCAGCTTCGATGCCTACAAAACAAGATAATTAGAATATTTTCACATGCAGTAAAGCTATGTCTTATCGCTTGCCTTTTTTAGCTAGTTCAGCGGCGGAGAGTAGCGCTGTTTCCACAGCCTTGGAATGCGCCACAATTGTAATGTCTTTGCCTGGCCGCATGATCTTTGCTTTTCCAAGGGGCACCAAGAAATCGACATCAGTTACTGTTTCATCAACCGGAAATGCAACACCATACATCAGCTCGTTCTCCAGGACAACCACTGGATCGGGATCACGTATGGCAGCCTTGAGCAATCCGCGTGCATCTTCCGTGTCGTAGGGTGACACGACCTTCAATCCCGGGCAGTGGGCGTACCATGCGGCAAAGCATTGAGAGTGCTGCGCTGCAACACCAGCTGACGCTCCATTGGGCCCACGGAACACAATTGGTACGTTGACGGCTCCTGCGGACATGTAAAATGTCTTGGCGGCTGAATTGATGACCTAAAGGCAAAAGCAAGGATATTAAATATTCATCTCATATAAACTTAAGTGAGAGAGACAGTGAGGGATACAGATTTATCATTCATGATCAGTTCATATCAATTCAAGTTTGTACACTCGCATTTTATTTATTCGCTCTTAACTGTTTACTTAATGCCTAGTTTCTGCTTAATGATAAATGCTGGCAGGCGACGTCCTTTCCAGTAACGTGGCAGCGGCACCTCGTTGGCCTGCCGCAATACCTCTGTTACATACTGTTCCGCATTGAAACTCTCTGCCTCTTTGATCTGTGACATTAGCTGGGCTTGGAACGCCTTCTCTTTGCGCATTTCCCGACGCTGTCGCACCTTGGCCCACTCAAATTTCATCTTGCGGCGCAGCTTCTTTAGCTTATGCTTCTTCATCTTGCGCCGCCGAATCACAATCAGACGCGCTGCTTCCATTTTGTCGGGTTTGCTCCTGTCCACTGGTGGTGCGATTGTTTGACCAACTCGATTTCTATTCAAGATGTCATTGATTTCCGTTAAAAGGCTGGATCGCGGACTCTCAATGATCTTCTTGTGCAGTGGAAAATCACCAATGATCTGTGGCCTGACCACTGGGCGCAAGCTCAGGTCGCTGACGGGCTTAGGCGAATTGGCCTGCACATAATTGGATAATATGGGTGGAATTAGTCAATCAATCGTTTTGGCTAAATGCCCGAATGACAGTTAGATTGTACTACAGCAGCAGCTCAACTTGATTTTGAGACCCATATTATCCCATTACGTTAAAGTGGAGGCGGTTTAGAATTTACAGATCATGTGACAAACTTGAATTGATATTCAGCTGGCCGGGCAAACAGCACATTATTGTTGGAGTTCAATTGAGTTTGTTAAATACATGAGATAATATGAGTAGTTAAGCTACTGCTTGTGGTTCGTGTGTGGGCGGTTGGGGTATCAGATGCAACAGGTGCGTGCAACTCACGTGATCGATTGCCTGCATTGAAAAGTTAAAGGTCATGAACTCGCAAATAGGACGCAGACCCGCCATTGCTGCACCGACTGCAATTCCAGCGAAACCCATTTCTGTGATTGGCGTATCGATGATCCGTTTGTCTCCATATTTCTTCCATAGACCACGTGAAACCTGTATAGAATTAGTAAATTGTTAGTTTAATTGTAAATCAGCAGATTCAAGATTGGTAGCTTAGTTTTTTTTTCTTCATATTATAATCTATTTATATATTTATATCTTTTCGTTGCATCGCAAAAATGTATACCACCGAAAGCACATACAACTAAATTTAAATTACGCCTTGTAAACAGGATTTATCGATTATGTTCATTATCGATGCGTGCTTTATCGGCCATCATAATCTAAGCGTGACCTTCATCAATCACGCAGCACAATGAGGACAAAATGAGCTCTGAAATTGTTATCTGTAATCCGCGCCGTAGGCAAATCCGTTGCAACTGCTGTTTGACGGACCCCGCGCTACCCCCTAACCCAAACAGCTGTCATTGCTAGCTGTCACTTGGCCTGTTTACGTAATCATCTTACAAGTGGCAAAGTCAAATCTTTTACTCACCTTGTAGGCGCCATCGTATTGTGCCACCTCCTCGCCGAGCAAAAAAACACGATCATCCCGGGCTAATTCATCGTCTAGGGCGCTATTTAGTCCATCGCGTACGGTCATTTGCTTGGCGGCCAAAGCTTTGGGACTCGTGGAGAATGCACGCTGGGCGGCACAGGCCACTTTGGAGAGTCTAGAACGCAGCATTATAGCTTATTTCGTTGACCGTTTTCTAACTGTTTGTATGCGTTTTATTAATAAGGTTGTTTTGAAAATTTTGGCATTACCTAATAAAACTAAAACAAATTTATACACACCGACGAACGTCTTCTCGCCCCAATAGAATGTCAGAATATTTTATTCTCCTACACAACACTTTTTACCTGCCACCACAAAAAATTTTTCGGCACGAACAGCTGGAAGATTTTAATCGATAGGTATACGTTTATTTATCGGGAATGCTGAAGTCGCTTGCTGCTTTGGGTTTGCGTTATATCTCGAATGCAAAACTTCCCCATGGGCAGCAACTAAGTAATGTAACGAAAATTTGTTTCTCTCCGTTGCCCGAGGTTTCTAAATGGCTAGTACCGGTTCAGGTGCAATACATTGAAAATGGAAAAACAAAGATGTGCGATATATTTAAAGTACACGATAGTGTGTCTATAGTTTTGTACAATATTTCAAGACAGAAGCTTCTTTTTGTCCGTCAATTCCGGCCAGCTGTATATTATGGCTTAATAATAAACAACTTTCGTGAGTTACCCAAGGAGGACATTGATTTAATGCAATATCCGTACGAATTGGGTATGACGCTGGAGTCCTGTGCAGGTATGGTGGATAAAGATAAAAGCTTGGCGGAAATAGCTAGAGAGGAGATTTTCGAAGAATGTGGCTATGATGTTCCCGTTGAAAAATTGGAGCATGTCTTTGAATACCGATCCGGCGTTGGCACTTCCAGCAGTGCCCATAATGTGTACTACTGTGAAGTTTGTGATGAGGAAAAAGTATCTGATGGTGGCGGAATTGATACTGAGATCATTCAGGTTATGGAGCTATCAATTGATGAAGCCAAAAATTTTGTAAAAAAGGGTACAAAAATAAATAGCGGTCCGGCCACAATAGCAGGCACACTTTGGTTCTTCGCCAACAAGATTTAAATGAAGTTCAAATTCAAATTTGAGTGTGACCATATCACTGTTTAGTATTAAATATCAAAAAAGCTTTGTGTAAGTTTTCATAACACATCAGTCGGTTGCTTTCTCACCGGAATCAGCTGTAGCCCACAGTTTGATTTGTTCTAAAATGGAAAACATTTCGAAGATCTGGTTGGGTCCACTGCCTGCTGACTCGCCCTATGTAAAACCATTTCGCATGTATTACGTGCAAAATGGCGTCGAAAAAAATTGGGATCTACTGAAAGTACACGACAGCGTTGCGATTATATTGTTCAACACGACACGTCAAAAACTTGTGCTTGTGCGTCAATTTAGACCGGCTGTTTATCATGGTGTGATAGCGAGTAAGGAGGGTAGCTTCGACAATGTCGATTTGGAGGCCTTTCCGCCATCGATCGGTGTGACCTTGGAATTGTGCGCTGGTATTGTGGATAAGTCCAAAAGCTGGAAAGAAATCGCTCGTGAGGAGGTGCTTGAAGAATGTGGGTATGAAGTGTCCGTGGACCGCATTGAGGAAGTAATGAACTACAGGTATGCCGATAAATGAGCTTCGCAATCAACAAAAGTCATTCCACACTCCTTTCGCCCTTACAGATCTGGTGTTGGCTCTTCGGGTGCCAAGCAAGCGATGTACTACTGCGAAGTAACCGATGCGGATAAAGTCAATAGCGGGGGCGGCGTGGAAGATGAATTGATTGAGGTGGTGGAACTGTCACTGGATGAGGCAAAGAAAATGGTGCAGCAGGGCGCCATCAACAACAGCCCACCCAGCTGCCTAATGGGTCTTCTGTGGTTCTTTGCAAACAAAGCTCCCGCAAACGCCTAGATCTTTTATCAGATGTTATTTACGCATTTGTGTTATCTGCGTTGATAACATCTCCATAACGATAATACTCTGCGCTGAACCTTAGACGATAAATATACATACGGAGAACTTCACATGCTTTCCAATCCACATTTGAATCAGTTAATGTGCGTAGAGTACCCAAATTGCAATGCCTTTCGAGTCTACCCTGTGTTTACTTATACATACATGTATAGAAAAATAAATGTGTGGGTATTTTGTTTATCGTTACGTTTGCGTATAAAGCAACGATATGCAGTCCTTTGGAGTGGAAATCGGTCAAGTGGATGCGCAAAAATGTGTCTGCAGCTGGAAGCCAAAATGAACAAGTAAGAACCCTAAGGGCGTATCCGGCTAGCCAATACACTTCATATCCTAACACTGCCCTAAACTGATTGAAATTATTACTGCATGAATGATACACAGATTTCACGAGGTTTTCAATTTTCCCCGATTTAGGACATTGGGTATTGTGAAGCCCAAAATGTAATCTCTAAATTTGAATGATCATGAGGTGGTTTTATAGAAAGCTAAAAATATATCGATGATTCAAAACTAAGCCTTCTCCCTAGTTCGATTTTATATACAGGCATACTGGTATGACGCCACGCCTCTTTTTGTATGTTACAAGCTATTTGACAGAAACATTATGCCCTCTTTATTCATCTTCAATGTGCTCAGGGTATGAAGAGCATTCACGAGAGCCGATGGCCGAGCCAGCTGACAGCAGCAGCCAAGTGCATAAATCGCAAATAAATCAAAAAGCCGCCAGGCGCACACGCGAGCTGCTGCAATCTGCAAAAGGGGCAGGCAGCTTCTGCAGCAGCGGCATCTGAACAAGTTGGCAACCCAGTCACTGCCCAGCCGATCCGATCCGATCCCACCAAAGCCAAGCCAAGCCGTGTGCCGTTTTTGGGCTGTCAGGCAGCGTGTTGCGCGGCTCAGGTTACTTATTTATACCCGGCCAGGCATTTTAGCTGCTGCTGCTGCTACTCCTTTGCCTCTGCCCCAGCCCCTACCTCTTCCCCTGCCACTGCCAGTGCCGACGTCAGAAGTTCAGCGGTCACGGCGAGCGGTGGCGTGGAAATTTATTTACTTCAAAGCCATGATTTGGCAATATTTCAACATTCAACGCTGCAATAGAATTTCTTTTTAAACTTTACAAACTTGATGCGCTGTTCGCTGCTCCTGTTGCAGCTATTGTTGTTGCTGTTGCTATAGTCTCACTGTATGCCGGTGTGTGCGTGCATTCGATTTTACAGTAGATAATCAAGGCCAGTCCTGAGGCATCTGTTGCCGCCTGTTTGCTTGCGTGTTAACCTCATGTAAATTATGGACATACGTACGGCAGCAAGAGAATCAACAGCAATGCGAGTGCTGAAATTATATTTAATTTGCATATGTGTATATAGAAAACGAGCAGTAGCTGAGCTCCAACCGTCTTTCAAGTAGCTGTGGACGTGAACGTATTTACGGGTGAACCTCTGCATAATTCGCATGACACACTCCTGAGTTGTTTGTGGGAGTTGCACTTGTTAATTTTCATGTTGTTCAAGGATTCCTTTTAATAAGTTGTTGCTTACATATAGAATGTGGTTTTATTATGCCTCGTAATTCGAATTTGAATTCGATTTGTACAAAATACCAAAAAACCATTTTTAGCGCATTTCTCATTGCCAATGTGAAAGGTATTTTCTAACTGCTCTTTTAGTGTTAAACAATTTCATACAATTTATACGGACTCGAATGACTTGCTTTTCAATTAGCCATTCAGAGCATACATATATATGTACATACATAAATAGCTATATTTCTGATTTATTTTACTTCCGGCTCAAATGTATAAGATGTATACACACACATTGTAATGCCTCTGAATTGGCTTTTGTGTGCTCCCTTTGCGATCGCTGTTGATATGGCTGTCAGGCATCAACTGTCGCCCTGTCATTGCTCCTGTCCGTGTCAAACTCCCCAAGGTGTTGTGATCGCGCTGTTGCCTCAACACGTTCTCGTCATGAGCTGATCTTAAATCAACTGGCGACTGATTGGCATTAACTTTGGCCGTACATTGCGCAAGATCCAAGTACAAGCAACGAAAACAGATCTGCAATTATTTCATAATCACGTCCCAATTTATGTTGCTAGAGCAGCTAGGCAGCAGCGGCAGCAGCAACAACAACTAGATAATACTATTTGAAATCAAAGCTTCTTTCTATTCCTTGCTGCTGACCCCAGACTTGCAGTGGCTGAGAACCAAAAATCAAAATGGCGTACGCTGCGGAACGGCAGGGAACGAAACGAACGGAACGAACAAATCGCGATCATGAGCTCTCAGTGCGCATGCGAAAATTAAGTGCAGCCAGCAACAATCATAACAACAACAACAACGACTACTACAAAGATTGCCTGCAAAACAGTTATGGGCGCTGCTGCCGCTGTTGTTGTTGCTGCCGTTGCAATAATGAAATTTTTTTATCGGATTTGATTATAAGTTGGTACGTACCAGCGATCCACCCCGCAGCCGTAATCTGCCAATAAGAAGAAAAGTAAGCAAGGAAGGTTTTGCTCGGCTGGCCGACTGGCCGGCTGGTAGCTGGCTGGGCTAGTAGCATGGCGGGCGGATTGGGGCGGTATAGCCCGGAACGGGCAACGACTGCAGCGTCTCAACTATGTTAGCGGTCGCTCATTGATTCCAGCCAGCAGCCAGCAGCCAGCAGCTGGCCGTCTGCTGTCCTCTGTCCGTCGTGATGCACTTTAATGAAATGAAATCTTATACTATCATGAACTGGAAAAAGAAAACACTGCAAACTGGTGGCCAGTAAGCCAGACTGCAGCCACAACTGCAGCTTGGGCCACTCAAAATGTATAATTATCTGGCGGTTTTATCCGTTTGCCAATATTAAATTTCTCATCACGCCCAGACACTGCCACAGAGCAAGGCAAATCCAGCGTGGAGAGGGCTTCTGGGAGAGCAGCAACAGCAGCAGCAGCTTCATGGGCACGGGCGCCGTCAAACAATTAATAAAAGGCCAAATGTCTGCAATAAGTTATGTATATATATATGTATGTATATATATACATATAAAAGCGATGCTTTTCCGCTCCTGTTGCTGGCAAAAAGGAAAAGGCTTCGGCTTTACCGTTTTAAGCGCTGCGATTTTGAGCAGACTTTCTAAAATCGATGCCACCGTTTGCCGGCTAAGCTGAGGGCTGTCGGGGCGTTGTCCACCGAAAGTTGAGTCGATCTCTGCTGCACCTTGCACTCAATTGCGAAGCGCAAGGTGCGCCACGAGCTGAACTGAGGGGCGAAGCTCAGGTGGCTTAAACAGTTGCAAGTTGACAATGCGCAAATTATCTTTAGTTGGAGCCAAGACAATGCAGCATATGCATTCTTATTCTTATCAAAGATAACTTAGATTAAGACTTTTAAGAATATATTTACAAAAAAAAAAAAAAAAAAATTATTAATTTACTATAATATTTATACATTTATTTACAAATATTTATGAGTTTTTTGTTATTATCCTGTTGTAGTCGATCCTTCAATCGAACACTTTTGGTTTTGGCCATATACATATTAGTTTGGCTGCTTTTAATTAACACAGCGTTTGCATCTTTGGCCGCGTTATGTTGCACGTGTTGCCATTTTAATTGCCCCCAAAGTGTCAACAAATAATTTGGCCAAATACGTATAATTGAAATTAAGTCATAAATGGCTAAAAATGTGCGCGACACACATAAAGTTGGCCGGTAAGAATTTCACACTCTCTGCTCTTGGCTTGATTTATGACGAGTCGCGGCTCGCGCATGGAAACTTGCCTTTTGCATTTCCAGTGGCTGTCAAACTGTGTCGCGGAACTGTGCACCTGTGATTGATCTCTGTGCTGCAAGCGAGTTTAATTACATCAGATAGAGGAGAGAGAGCGCGCCAGAGAGTGGGCAAAGTCTACTCTACTCTTCTCTTTGCCGTTGTAACTAGCGCAGCTTCAGCTGAAGAGCAAATGGCGCTCTTAGCCAAAGCTCTTACCGCTCTCTTAAGTGCCCGCTAGACACAGCTCTAGGCCCCGCCCACTAAGTGAAGTGAAATGAACAGAGTGCGAGCGTTAGTCCACCTGATCGCCCCCTCTTGATGCGCCCCCGCTCAACTCTGTGAGAGTCTCACAACCATTTTGTCTATGCAAATTTGCGAAAGTGCCAAAAATGGGCGCTTACAAATTTTGTGCCACGTTTTTATGAATAAATATTAATGATCAGCGCACTGACTCATGCCGCAGGCTGGTCGAGTCGATGTTTGTGTGGTCCGCATGCTTAAGTCCGTCATTAAGTCGTTTAAATAGAGATTTCCAGCAGCTTAACTAGCCGGACAGACAATTAAAAATCATTTGCATAGGCCGATAATGAAGGCCGCAGCCATAATAAAGCGAAGCATTAAAACCAACCACAACAAGAAAATAAGACAAAAAGTTTCCTCCGAAGGGCAACAAAGCAAATGAGATTGGCCCAAGCAAGATCCTGATAAGGAACCAATCGCAATCATCCATGGCAATCGACGAAACTGTGGGGCAGTCGCAGCTGCCACCGGCGATGCGACGTTTTTGACCGGCAACAACTTTGTTGCCTTCAAGTTGTTGAACTTAACGCGAAATCTTCTTGGCCTGCGCCTGGGAAATTAACAAACATACAACAACAACAGTAACAAGAGCAACATGAAGTAAGAGTGCTCTAGCCGAGCATTGCCGACGCTGAGATACACTACTCATTGTATGTGATAGTCCCAGTGTCCTATTGGATGTCTCTAGACGAATGTTCAAAATCGATATTTATCGATCAAATGACAAAAATGAACTATTTATGTTTGTGCTTCAATTGAATATAAATAAACTTTCATGTTTTTCCCTATTGATAATGAGCCTAAACCTGTCTGCTCCTGCCTGTTGCAGACCTTCACATCAAACCGATATACCCTTGTTATAAGGCAACAACAACAGCCGCATCAGCTTCAGGCAACAAACGTCAGAGCATTTCCTCAGAGCTACAAAGTCAATGTCTGGGAGTGCTGCAACGGATGCGCAGGAGGAGTAGCCTTTGTCAGTTGGAGCTGAGCTGCAGGCACAGCTCGATGGATCGTTCGGATATACATATGTATGTATATGTATGTACGTGTGTATGCAGCCTGCTGGAAGGAGTTGATGGCCAGCGAACGATCTGTGGTTATCTGATTTTAATTAAACGGCATCGCATAATAAATTATCTTCATTAGGGTGCTCTGATGACCAACTGAAACTTAGCGTAACGTACTGCCGAATTTCTTTCAGTGTTCGTGTCCCTCCCCAGCCTCTTCGACTAGACTCGGGCTATAAATCAAATGACCATAGCCGTGTTGTCGTGTTTGTCGCGTTCAGTGCGTGTGTTCCTTCAGTCTCTCGCTCTCTCTCTCTCTCCTCCCTCTCCCTCACTCATGTTCATTAATGAAAAACCGGATAAAATGTCAAACAGAATCTGCGAATCATTCGACGGCTGTGCGCCGTTGACAGTTGGAAAAGCACCGCAGCGCGAGCACGAAAAATCAACACATGCTTAGATAATCATATTAAAAGCAAAAGAAACAAAAACTGTCACAACAAGGTTGTTGTCGAGCAGAGCCGACTGCTTAATACTTTACTCTTGTGATCTGTGTCCTTAAAACTAAAAGTCTTCTAATTACAATTATTAGGAATAAGCCGTTAGATTTTTGTTAATTAGCTTGTCAGGAAGCAGAGATTACGCATCATTTTCCCAGCTGCGTGATTTTGATTTTGGCACAAGACCTTAGCTTTCTCACGGCATACCCAGTTGTTCATTTTGAAAGATCCGTTACGTACGCCCAATAAACGCAACTTTCGTTGCCACCCGCATTATCAGGATGTCCCGGGGCCCATTTAGGGTATGGCAATCTCATGCCTGTTGTTAGTGAGACGAAATGATCACTGGACAGGGCGTTGCTCGATGTCCAGAGCCGAGCGTTTTGGTACCCTTGGCTGATTAGATACCTAGAAACCTGATGCAGCTCCGAGGCCGACTCGAATAAGACAAGATATACGTCGGCAACCGTGGGCTGCTTTGGCCAGGATACCCTTGAGTGCCATACAAAGTAGAACTTGCAAGTAGCTGCATGTTCAATTGCTGCAAATACATATAGCAAGCTCACTCGAATATCGATCATCTCAAAATAACTCATCGCGGTATTATCGATGCTATCGATGTTTCGTTGTGATGTCCTGCGCTATCGGCACATCGACTGTATTGATATATGATGACTTAAGATTATGTTTAATTTAGTAATCTTCGAGAAAAGGGTATATATATGTATATATCTATATATATGATTAATGGCCACAGCAGACGATGCGAGCTCTCATTTTTGTTAGGGTAGAGTAAAGGAATAAATTCAAGAAAAAAAGCAAATTGTGCTATGGAAGTGGAGCACAAACCGGTTGCAACTTGGTTTGGTCAATTGATTGACGAGCTGCGTGCCGCAAATGTGCAGACACGCACACACACATGCGCACATAGGGATGCACACAGGTGTGCTTGCCTGAAAGGAGGCATCTTCAATAAGAAGCAAAGGAAGCGCAT